CACTATTCATATCGATACGGAGGGAATTTGCAAAGTTGTTCAGAAACGTGGAGCGATTAGGATGGCCCTTGGGTAAAAGGTTCAAGGCAGCACGATGATGCTCAATGGCCTCGTCAAGATCTGCACTCTGTCTAAGCTGGTTAAATCGAATACGGAGGGAATTCGCAAGGTTGCTCAGTGATGCGGAACGATCGGGATGTCCCTCGGGGTGAAGGTCCAGGGCAGCACGATGATGCTCAATGGCCTCGTCAAGATCTGCACTCTGTCCATGCTGTTCATATCGAGTATGGAGGGAATTTGCAAGATTGTTCAGTGATGCAGAATGATTGGGATGGCCCTTGGGGAAAAGGTCCAGACCAGCACGATAGACGCCTATCGACTCCTCTAAATCTTCTAATTTCCCCCACTGCTCGAAGCGCATATAAAGAGAGTCTCCGAGCGCACCCAATGCTGTAGAATGACATGGATGTCCTTCTGTACAAAGTCCAAGTACAATACGAACATGTGAAATGCACTTGTCAAGGTCTTCCTGTTCCCTTGATTGCTCAAAGCGTTCCCAGTATTCATGCCCCAGCTTGAGCAGTACACGGCAAATCAAATCAAGGTCTACTGAGTACTCCATTTGGGCACACAACACACGATAAGAGCAGTGCTTGCAAGTAATAGCACTCTCCCTAGTTGACCAGTGTGTTTAGTTAGAATGAAGCCAATAAGCAACAAGGGATGCATTACCCAAACGCTCACTAGTCCTTGAAGCCTTGTTGTTCAAAGAGCTGCCTTTCAAATAAGGGATGTTCACTTAATCTGAAATTCTTTTTGTTATAACCTGCTTCTCCTGGAGCATGCAAGAACAGACTGACCTGTAAGTGAAGGGAAATATCACAAGTTGCACATCAATGCAAAGGGTAGTGTGTGTATGAGATGGTGGGACGTTGGTGCAAAGGGTTGGGCAGAGCACTGTAGGGTTGAGACGTTAGGGGCATGTGCATCAAATCCTAGTCAGAATTTGGATACTTACCAAATGTAGTAGATGCCATCAACATGTGTTTTTAAAGTATTGATTTTCTAATAATATACAATCAAAATTATATCAAAATAACTACTGAATAATCGTAGAATTCAGATATATATATACTCTTATTATGCAATATTTCAAAACCACTTACAAGAATAATAATTTACTACTTAACAAACAAGACTAGGATATATCTTGTTTACAGACTAATATATGTATCTAGCTAACCTGTCCTAAATATATTCAACAAAAGATATTAGCTTCAATAAGTGAGAAAAACTTAATAGAATTGAATTTAACTATATTACTTTAGACAATATTACTCTGTCTTCATAAATATGTTACCAGTTTACTAATCTACAATTGTTTAATAAGATGTACTATACAAATTTTCAACCAAGTAATATTTTACTGAATATTCGGTTAACAGAAAATCTCTTACAAGTATTTCTATGATATTATTTTATAGTTCACCTGAATATCTGGAAAGTAGTCACTTTTAATGTAGGATTGTTTTGTATGTTACGGAATGGTTAATATTCTGGTGGAGGTGATCGTGGGAAATGCGCGTCGTGTATAGAATCGCAGATGATGCTGAACGACGTGTCCGCTACCACTGTACCAGATCTTTTGCTGCTTCCACGTTTACCTCTGCTCAAGGAGTCCGACACGATGCAAAGCTTCGAGGACGTTGAAGACCAAGATGGTTAGTCCATGAGGATGCAAACCTAAAGCTTCCAGTATCTGACAAAGGACATGTAGGCGTGCGTCTATCGTGGAACTTTTGGCCGTCTTCACGGATAGAAGCAACGAGGACCGTTGTCCCGATTTCCGCACTTTACTCGCCGTTGAAGCAGAGGGAGGATCTTCCACCAGTACTCTATGAACCAGTTGCATGCAAACCACCGTGTCGGGCTATCTTAAATCCATTTTGGTGAGCATATCTGTACACGTTTCGAAATATGCCCGTCTGACTGCGCTCCTTGTCTAGTCAAATTGACATACGTGGAAAGCTTTGGATCTGCCCCTTCTGCTTGCAGCGCAATGCATTCCCGCCTCATTATAAGGATATTTCCAACACCAATCTCCCTCCCGAACTACTGTCCAAGTACACGACGATAGAATACACGCTTGCTCGTCCAGCAGTGGTTCCGCCAATTTTCTTATTTGTTGTTGACACTTGCCTGGACGAGGAAGATTTAAAGGCGCTCCGAGGTGCTCTGGCAGCTGCAATCGGTATGCTTCCTCCCAACTCCCTTGTTGGTCTTATCACGTTTGGCACCATGGTAAGTGATTTCGTTCTCGCAGGCACTCTAATTGATCACTCACCACATACTGCTCTAGACGCAAGTACATGAACTTGGCTATGCACCATGCACGAAGTCATATGTCTTCCGTGGTGCAAAGGAATACTCCCCCAAGCAAATCCAGGATATGCTAGGCCTGAACCCTCAGAACCGTGCGGCTCCTCGTCCCGGACAACCAATTCCTCAGAATTTCGGCGCTGCGCGGTTTTTATTACCGGTCGAGCGGTGCGAATGGCAACTGACAAATATCATTGAGCAACTTTCTCGTGACCCTTGGCCGGTGGCAAATGATAAACGACCCCTTCGTGCGACTGGAAATGCGATCAGTGTTGCCGTTGGACTTTTGGAGACGACGTTCCCGAACACGGGTGCTCGAATTACGGTATTCGCTGGAGGGCCTTGCACGGAGGGACCTGGTTTGGTCGTTAGCAACGAACTCCGAGAACCAATTCGCTCTCATCACGATATTGATAGAGACGGTGCGAAGCACTTCAAGCGGGCAACCAAAGTATGTAGCCTTATTAATCATACGCCTTCTTGCTTATGTATCTGTCAACTTTTGCAATAGTTTTACGAAGGTCTTGCCCGCAGAGCATCGACAAATGGGCACGCAATAGATCTCTTCGCCGGATGCTTAGACCAAGTCGGTTTACTGGAAATGAGATCTCTATCGAACTCAACAAACGGTGTAATGGTTTTGTCAGACTCGTTCGCGACGACAATTTTCAAGGAAGCATTCTTCCGTATGTTCGACAAAGATGACCAAGGTCACCTCCTGATGGGTTTCAACGCGACCTTTGACGTTCAGGTAGGCACACAATTCGGGTGGTCAAATGCATCGTCGCTTACGTATGCCTCATCTTAGACGACGAAAGAACTGAAGGTATCAGGCCTTATTGGCCACGCGATTTCCGCAGGAAAGAAGTCGGCTTGTGTCGGCGAGACGGAGATTGGTATTGGTCAGACATCAGCGTGGAAAATTTGCAGTCTTACCCCGCGTACGTCGAAAGCGGTCTACTTTGAAGTCGTCACTCCTGCTGGTCAGAGTCTTCCATCGAATTCCCGCGGACTCATCCAGTTCGTCACCCACTATCAGCACTCCTCTGGTCAACAACGTCTCCGCGTGACTACTGTAGCGCGGAACTTCGCCGAGGCTGGCTCTCCGAGCATTGCAGCGTCTTTCGATCAGGAAGCTGCAGCTGTACTTATGGCCCGTATCGCCGTGTTCAAAGCGGAGATCGACGATTCACCAGATGTCTTACGCTGGTTGGACCGCATGCTCATCCGATTATGTCAAAAGTTCGCAGATTATAGGAAAGAAGACCCAACGAGTTTCAGACTCGCAGACAACTTCAGCATATATCCGCAATTCATGTTCCATCTCCGACGAAGCCAGTTCTTGCAGGTCTTCAATAATAGTCCAGACGAAACTGCGTTCTATCGTCATGTGCTGAACGAGGCGGATGTGAATAATTCGTTGATTATGATCCAGCCGACGTTGATGTCGTATACGCTCGACGTACCTCCTCAACCGGTGCTTCTTGATAGCGTGTCGATCAAACCGGACGTTATCCTTCTCCTCGATACGTTCTTCCACATTCTCATCTTCCACGGAGAAACGGTCGCACAGTGGCGCAAGGCAGGATACCAAGATCAAGAAGGTTACGAGAACTTTGCAGAGTTACTCGCTGCACCGTCTGAAGACGCGAAAGAACTGCTCGTTGATCGATTCCCTATTCCTCGGTATATTGTGTGCGACCAAGGTGGTAGTCAGGCGCGGTTTTTATTGTCGAAGTTGAACCCTTCTACGACGCATATGTCGGGTGGCATGTATGGTGCTAGTGGTGGAGCGGGACAGGCTATCTTCACGGATGATGTTAGTCTGCAGGTGTTCATGGAGCATTTGAAGCGTTTGGTAAGCATTTGATGTTTTGTGTGCTATGCATTTCGACTTACTGTCGTACTCTTTTAGGCTGTCGGTGCACAGACTAATTAGTTATGTGTCCCCATTATTATTTGAAAATTCGTATTCTTTATATTTCCGCCTTTTGTTCCTTCACGAGTATTGCGTCGAATAGAAAAGAACTTCAGAACTTTCAGAGAAGTGATAACTGAACGTTCTGGATCTTCGAACAGAGTCGAGAGACATTCTGAACCCGCGGAAAATGTATGGAAGCATTCATTTCTCTGCTCGCTCTTGCAAACAAACTCCGAGTCGGATGGCGCGTATGCACGGCAGCGCTCCAATCGGATCAAGAATGCAGGGATGACTCAGTTGACTTGGCGGAGGTGGTGCAAGAAACGAGTCGTTTTTGATATGTTGTAATTGTACCACTTTCAGATTTATCAGATAAGATGAATTTAACCTTCTGACTCCAACCCAAAAATGTCATGATCTTATCAGATAATTTTATTGACTTTTCCGCGGTTCCCGCTAAAGGTTTTTCGTATATAAAAGTGCGATACTGCAGCACGACGAGTCCACTCAACCCCATTCTTAACATCTTATCACCACACTGCTCTCCAGAGATGACTGATTATGTATTCCCGAGTACTGCAGACCTTGCAAAGTCTGATGCCTACATACAGAGCATCCTGGACCCTCATGGTGACCCTGCACTCGAAGCTGCAACTCAGAATAGACAGGCCAACGGTCTTCCCGAGATCTCTGCCGGGCTTCAGTTTGGTAAATTCTTGAAGCTCACTGCGCAAGCTGTTAATGCAAAGAGGATCCTAGAGATTGGGACTCTTGGAGGGTGAGGACTTTGTCACATTCGATACTGTAAAATATATTGCTTACTTGTCGCGCTTGTGTCAGTTACACTGCTATATGGCTTGCTAGAGCGCTACCTGAGGGTGGAAAGCTGATTACACTCGAGATATCCGATAAACACGCTAAGGTATGTTCCTGAGTTTGATTGCAAATTAAATCTTCACAAAGAGTCTGATTTGCTCAAACAGGTTGCACGAGAGAATATTGATCGCGCCAGTTTGTCATCCAAGGTTGAAGTTAAAGTCGGGCCCGCCATCAATACGCTGAAGACTCTAAACCCCGACGAGCCGTTCGATCTTGTTTTCATCGATGCGGACTGGGAGAGTGTTCGCGTTTACTTCAACGAAGCAAAGAGATTAGCAAGAAAGGGCGCAGCGATTGTAAGTTCAAATGGACAGGGAAGTAAAATAAGCGTGCATTATAACGCATGCTTTACTTTACGAAGGTTATCGATAACGTGAATTATGACGCGAAAGTTGCATTGGAACCCGAAGACACGAAGGAAGCGTATATTAGGTCGATCAAGGGTCTCCTCGATCAGTTGAAGGAGGATAAAGAGGTTGACGTGACGATCCTTGGGATAGCAGAATACAGACGGTTCGATGGACTACTGTACGCAATTAAGCAGTGAGGAGGTGAACACATTTCCCGATCGAATCAATGACAAGAATGTATAGTTAAATAATATTTGCACAACGCACATTATTGCGTCTGCGGGATGGGCACGCCAGACAGCGCGATTAGTTTATGGGGGGAATGAGGTGGTGTGTTCAGGCCATCTATGGTCTGTTTTATTCAACTCGGCATTCGCCGAATACAAATTGCCATATAAGCCGACGATCAATATTGCGTCAAAAGAACGTTCACATTAGCATCCTCACGAATTACAAACCTCAGGTTCCGAGTCGCCGACGCTTATGAAGGCGCGTTAGGCATAAAAGCATAAATACCGAATCGCCTACTCAGACTCAGACTCCACAACTCAAGGCCTCTTGTACTTTGCTTATCCAATCGCACAAAGACGATGTCGAGCGCTCCAGGAACGGGTGACCAGACAGACCTTCGCAATAATCTTTCGAGAGACAAAGATGGTTCATTCAAGAGACAGGTGTCTACCTTCCGCGACACAATAGTCAAAGGCGGGAAGTTCGAGCCAGAGCCAGGTCGGTAATAAATGCATCATAATAGTCTTTGCAAATTAAATTCATTCTACTTGAAGGACGTTATCATCTTTATGCCGCTTTGATATGCCGTGCGTATTTCTTTTAGAGATCTATCCATCGCTTCTTTCTTATAAGAGTTTATAGCTTGGGCGCACAGAACCCTGATCGTCCGCAAAATCAAGGGCCTTGAGGACATCATTTGTAGAACAGTCTTTCGTTTAACTTGTAACAACCCCTGAATGCTTACATATATTTAGCGGTCACGATTACTGCACCACGGATGGACAAGGACGGTTGGCCATTCGCTAACATTGATCCCTTTCCTGGCGCGGAAGTAGACGATCTGAACCATGCCGACCATGTCAGAGATCTGTATTTCAAAGCACAGCCTGATTTCAAAGACAGGTGAACTCACATCCAATCAAGCAACGTACTTTCTAATCGCAATATAGATTCACGGTTCCGGTCCTCTGGGACAAAAAGTTGCAAACGATCGTAAATAACGAGTCGTCCGAAATTATTCGTATTCTCAACTCGTCTTTCAACGAGTTACTTCCGCCAGAAAAGGCCGCAATTGACTTGTACCCAGAGAGGTATCGCTCTGAGATCGATAGCTTAAACGAATGGGTGTATGATGGACTTAACAGTGATTCATTTGTGATCCAGTCATTGCAGAGAAAACATCTAACCGAGCCATTTTAGACGGTGTTTACAAATCGGGTTTTGCAGGAACACAAGAAGTGTACGAGAAGGCAGTGACACAGGTCTTTGCGTCGCTGGATCGCATAGAACCACTTCTTAAAGGAAAGGACTTCCTCATTGGAGATCAGCTAACGGAAGCAGACGTTCGACTATACGTCACCACTGTTCGCTTTGACGTTGCATACCACGGTCAATTCAAATGCAACCTGCGTACGATTCGCAGCGGCTATCCGAATATTCACAGGTAAAGACTATATTCCTTCCGCAGACGTCGCTTTTGAAACTGAATTCTCACTGTTCAGATGGCTGAGACAGTTGTACTGGACGAATCCTGCCTTCAACTCGACAACAAACTTCGATCACATCAAGACGGGTTACTACTCAATGAAGACAGTACGTCCTATACTTGACCTAAAATTGTGTCGTCTTATTAACTGGGCTTGATAATTCAAGATAAATCCTACGCAAATTGTTCCAGTTGGACCCGTGCTGTCGATTGAGCCTTTGTAAGAGGACTCACGAGATGTAGTTAGCTTGTATTTGTATCGATGAATGGAATTTTACTGCACATGAGATGTTCATTCATTTGCATTGTAACCCACGTGTATGCGCGTTTAGTACTCCACCAGAGAGATAAAGTGTTTCTAGTGCCACTAATATGTTTCTAATGCTGCGCACAGGTGTTTCGGTACTCCGACCACTCAGCTGAACAGAACATACCAGCAACTTGAATAAAATACAAACAGTAAAGAATACTTGAAAACGTCGCAAATAAGCATTCGATTTATTGACAGAGACAAAACACTAAACCCAGTGTACTCAAATACTCCCGTATTCAACGCTAAAGGGTTCAAAGATACTTATTGCGTGTGGGTGCTAATTGGGCGCGATGACTTGGAGATGTTCTTCACAAGGTGACCGTGGAGCAAGAAGAAACATTTTTAGTTCCGATATGTGCCGAAAGCGACGCGGACGTTTCAGATGTATTTTTGTATCGCCTGTATGCCTGGCTGACTGATTGTTTGCTGGTCGAATGACTCGAGGAGAACGTTGGACCCTAGTAGACATTTCTGTTCTTTCTAAAAATGAAGTTCTCAATTTCCGACACATCGGAGAACCACAGATGCGACGGCTAACTCTCTTATTTTATACGTTATTCCACAGACACTGTAAGCAGTCATGACTTGAATATGCCGAACAAACGGCTAGACTTCTACATTTTTGTGAAATTTATCAGATAAGATGACTCCGCATTGTCAGCACGATTCAAAGATAACGTAAATCTTATCAGATAAGATCTGCCGACAGTACGCGTTTGGACGGCGGTGTAAGCCAACTTGCCGTTGAAACACGTACTGACTTTCCCATCGCATAAACCATCTCTTATATAAATAATGCCACACTGTAGCAAAATGAATCCACCAACACCCTCTGTTATTCTGAGAAATGTCTTCCAGCATGCACTTGACTACTGAAGAGTGGGCCAGGATTGTTTCCAACACACGCTTGACTACTGAAGACTTCGCTAAATCTGACGACTACTTCAATAGCTACTTGAATCCCAAGGACCCAGTACTCGAGGCTGGTGTGCAGAACAGTCGGGCTAATGGTCTTCCAGACATTGCTGTTAGTTCTGCCCAGGGAAAGCTCCTGAAGCTCATTGCGCAATCCATTAGCGCGAAGAGGATCCTTGAAATCGGTGTTCTTGGAGGGTAACGTTTCCAGTTTCTTTGAGCTTTGCTAAAGGAATTCCTAACACATCTCCTGACAGATACTCCACTACCTGGCTTGCCAGAGCGCTGCCCGAAGACGGAAAGCTCATCGGGCTAGAGCTGTCCGATAAGCATGCTCGGGTACGTTTCTGTGGATATTGCCATATGAATAGGGCTCGGTCCCGTACCGTATTATACGGATACGGCATTTTCGTATACGGTGCCGTACCGTATCCGTATAAAAAATTTGACTCAAAAATACGGCACGTATTTTACGAGCCGTAACCGTATATAGTCTGTATAATACGGACCGTATACGCCTGTATATGATATACGGCTACTAAATGAAAGAAACTCTTGCTCTAAACATAATACTGAAGCTCTAATAAGTAGTATCAATGTTCAGACACTTATACTAGCATTTACTAATATATTCAGCACTATTATTGTAAAAGTATGTGCAATCTGATATATATTCCGATATATAGGTACATCACATGACTCGACTTTATGACAAATATCACAGACTAAATTACATAACAAAATGTCAATAAGTCAAATTTTATACATTTCATGAAGATTAAGGCATAATATAGGTAGAATTCAATATTTCTATACTAAAGAGGTAATAACACAATGATATAGCCCCTTACATTTCATGCTACACCTTGGTAAATGTAGCAACTACGCCGTATCCGTATATGGCGTATATGGAACGTATACGGCCGTACCGTATCCGTATAGGTTTTCGGGTTCAGAAATACGGCACCGTATTATACGAGCCGTATCCGTATAAGGGTCGTATTATACGGCCCGTATCCGTATACGGTACGGTACCGAGCCCTACA